ACCTTAAAAATCACTGTTTCTCCCACACTGTTGGGCAGCCAAATGATGTATTTTTATTGTAAGCTAATCTTACATTACATTGTATAAATAATACAATCAAAATTTAAAATAAAAATTCTTTTACAATATTTAAAGGCTCGAATTGGGTGCAAAAGAAAGAGAAATACCTTGCACTCTTAAAATTCACAAACATATGATCCCATTAAAAGCTCAATCTTAGTTTTCTTACAATATACTCATGCATGTGTCTGTATACTAAGATAAATATTTCATTAGAACCACTCTTGTAAAGTGACTGTTGGCTGAGTCAGCAGTAGCAGTGATATGTGCCGGTGGTCTGTCCCTGATGAGGAGGTCATTGGTATGATTAAAGCAATATTGAGTGATGACAGAAAGTGAGAAACTGCATGAGGAAACCAATAATAAAAAACAAACACTAGACTCAACACTAAAAAGACCATACTGTAGGACATTTAACAACTAAAATTTGCTCAATTTTTGCACCTTTCAGTGGTATTACATTTTTCCTTATTATTTGCTTAGTATTCACTGGCTCTTCATTTCAGGATTATTTATCAGCCAAAAATTTGTAACACACAACAACGTAAATTATTTATTACACACCAGTTCCACTGGAGTTCAGCACATCAGCTGGTTTAAAGTCACAAACACACACACCTAACAAACAACTTGTAAACACAACACGATCTTCATGCCTGTCAAACCAAATCCACACAGACCTACACTGCACCTTAATCTTTTCTCCTTTCTGTCTGCCGTAATTTCTGCAATCAGAGAGATCTTGCGCTTTGGAGCCAGAGAGTCTGCAACCTGTTTCTGTGTGTGTGTGTGTCTCAGTGTGTGTGTGTGTGACAAGCCAACCAGCCAGGCAAGCAAGCAGGCATGCAGACACTAAAACAACTGGTTTATTCTATTACTGTGTTCATTTGACTTGGTCACTGTGCCTGCCAGCACTAAGAGGTGATAAAGGGATGATTTAATGGTGATGTTCGTAAAATGCTCCTGTGATTCAGCACGCTGAAAAACAACTATAGGAACACATGACCTCACGGCTTAAATATCTGCTTATCATCATCATCATCATCAGTTCAATTCTGCATATCAGCATGTCCCTCCTTGATAACACCCAGGATGTATGTGACAGAGAGTGGGACACAGGAAATGACTCGAACAAGCACACAGTCTTTATAACACCATTTTGACTATAATCTCTATAAACAGATATCTGCAGGTTCCTTGGCATCAGAAGCATTCTGGTTTCTGTTTGTAGTTCGAGTAGTATTAACCAATCACATTTGACCAGGCTTTGGTTGCCTTAAGGCAAACAGTCTAAGTGGAGAGCAAAAGAGGCGGAACACATTGGACGAAATACAATCTCAGAACCCATCAGCTATGCCGATTTTGCTTTTTATTACTGTTCTAAAAACGTACCTGCATTCATATGCAAGCGCATTGGGCTAAATGCAATATCTGAACGGTTTATTTATTTCTAGCCATTTTTGTGTATCAAGTTGTTACTCGGACTGCAGCGGAAGTCTTGGCCCGGATATCCACTATTCCTTTTTCCGGATATCCGCTGGCTACACCAGAAGCCCCAAAACATTGCCGGTTTCCCCCAGAACCAGAGACCGTTTTGACTTTGTTTCACTAAAACATTTAGGGAAAAATACAGTCAGGGCATCCAGCACAGACTTGGAACAAGGACATATTCAGCCTAGCTTAGCACAGCACTAGAAATGCTAGGCTAGCTCTGTATGTAAATGTAAAAAGGAGCCATTGGAGTTTCAGCAGCAAGCTATTTCTTGACAAACTGAGCGCAGTGAATCCATGTGGGATCTGAAAGGCCATGTCCTCAAAGTGGGGCTGCTAGTTGGTTGGAAATGTGTAAAGGATGGGCTAGCTAGGTTGCTAATGCTCTTCACCTATGCTGACCGAGCGTACCTGCTGCTGTAGTAAGTAAAGCTGTACAGAGATGCTGGGAAAATGAGCAGACATTCATTGAGCGGTACCAACGACCCTGTGACTGCTTTTCCTGCCTCTCAAGCATGTGGATAAGAATGCTTTGGAGTGGCTGGAAGCTGTATTTTTGTGCTAAACACGTCCTGCAACTATCTCTGTAGAAGACATAGAGAGAAAATTGATACTGACAACTGATAACTGATAACTGATAATTGCCCTCACAAGCAAATCAGTTGTAAGTCATGTAGGGCAGAAAACTGCTGCCAGACATTTTATTGGTTGATGTAACAGCCATTATTATCTTTGACTTCTCACATAGACAACTTTTGTGACATTACTGATTGGGGTGTAGCCAGAAATGCACCGTGCTTTAATGTTTCAAGCCCTGAAAAGCATCTCTAGTGTTTACCCTTGTTATAAAAAATTTAGTAATGTCAGTAATTGATAATGTGAAATTTCTGGGTAATGAAGTTCTCCAGCTTTAAGCAGGGATCACTGACTGCCATTTTGGGTCTCCACAGTGTGAAGTTGGCCAGTGAAACTCTACTACCTTTCGAACCTTTAATGCATGCAAGATTATATCAATAAATAACTAAGGTAAAAAGACCTCTATAACCTAAAACAATTATGTAGTTTTTAACACCTGAAATTTAAGCAATTGTTTTTACTGATTTTTTAAGACCTTTGTGAACTATGCCAAGTCACTTTCTCTCCTGAGTTTACACTTGAAAACAGTGAATTTGGATCAATCCGTCTGCAAATATGTTTCTTAAATAATTTTCTAAAATACTTTATAAGCACAAGATGGGGAAATCTGTCTTAAAATTGTGGCAGTAATTTAAAAGGACTACCAGGATTGGTTAGGTGGAATCTGAATGATATGACCCTACCTAACATTACATTACATTACATTAAAGGAGGTGTATGGAACATAATATAAAACGTCATCAAACAAACGACATGGAAGCACCCAAAAGAGTAAAAACTAGCGGGAATTACCTGTTTTGATTGATCCTACAAAACTACAGTGAGCAAAGAGAGGACTGTACAACACTGTCGACATCACAACAGCAGCAGCATATCTTGGCAAACACATATTAGAATCCCTGACTCTGCCTTTAATCGCCTTATTTGACAACTTGTCCAACATTTTTCAATCGCGAAACTTGTTAAACAAAATTATAAAAGGATGCACATTGTTGTTTTTTCTTTCTGTATCTCATACAAGTGGAAACACACAGGAATGTTGCTCTAGTGGCCTTGTGGGTATCAGTAAAAACCCAGTGAGAAGACAGGCAGGATGACATCAAAGGAAAAAGTGAAGGATAGAAGAGATCCTCTTTTCCTGGAAAGACCAGCATCCCTGTGCACAATCTGTGTCAGTGTGTGTATCTCTGTGTGCATGCTGTAGTACAGTAAAGGAAACACAGATGGACAGATTGAGGGTGACTGGTAAAAATGAAGCTATAAGTTCAGTTTCTGGATAGACTAAAGCATCAAGGGAGAATTAATCATGTATTTATTTATCTGACAATGTTACACTAAATTTAAGGTGCTGTAGAAAATGATTGAAATTCATATCACGTTATTGCAATGAATGCCATGAGAGAGAATTCAACCCTATTCTCCCACAACTTTACCCACACACTAAGACTTGTGTGGGTAGCTTTGAAAAGGTTGATTTAATGAAATTCTAAAATACGCAGGCATGTCAAACCTCTGCCAAATGGTCAGCTGGAGGTTTTAGCGGGTTGTATCTTTATAAGCAATGAGCCACACTTCACTTAGTAACACTAAGCTGTCTTGTCCAGATGGGCCTTTACGGCTACAAAATTCAATTCAGCCCTTATAAAGGCGCACACACATTCTAGTTATCCAGCATTAAATCAACCACCATGCAGGGCATAATAACATCATATCACCTCTGAGGCAAAACACAGGGTTGTTGTTGACACACATACACACACAGACAGACACACATCTAACAGGCTCTCATGGCTGGCTTTGATGGAAGGCCTGCTGGCACTAAAGGGGAATCCTTTGAAAAATCAATCCAACACACACACACAGTTTGCTTCAGAAGTGCAGGAAAGTTATCAGGAAGCTAAGCCACTGTGTGCGAGTGTATGTGTGTTTGTGTGCTTTTGGAGGTCGGTCAGTGTTATCACAGTAGGGAGCACGGAGGCCCGTGCAGCCTCTCGCCCCAGCATTAGCACCTGTCACTGGCCTGCAGCGGAGCTGAGATTGGCCAGGCCTCGGGGTATACGCTCACATACACACACACACACATATATACACCTACACACACAGTAGTCTGCCCCCTGATAGCAAGTGAGCCAGGCAGATCAAAGGTTTTGACAGCGGTGGCTTTTCTGGATGATAAGAGCTTGGCAGAAGGTTAGGAAGAACTTTAGGTTTATCAGACCAGGCTTTGACCAATATGGGTATTTGAAGGCCGATACTGATAGCTTGAGACCGAAACTACAGATGCTTTAGAGAGGCATTGATTCAACTTTTGGAGGTGGTTGGGGCTGTTAAACTGTATTGCGCCACAAACTGCAGCCAATGATCATACGGTTGAATCAACTCCTCTCTAAAACAACAATAACAAAAAAAGCATTAGCTTTTGCTCAGTGTACTGAATGAACTAAATTATATTCTATATTTTTTCCCTTTTTAGGTGCATTGCACTTTTTTAACAACTCAATTTGGCACAGCTTTCCAATTTTATGACACAATGTACTTATATGATAGAGTATGTGACAAATAGAATTTGTATTTGATATCTTTGCTGCCAGTATGGTGAAAGAAAAA